AACTGTCATGACCGTTTTTTAAAAAAATTTTTTTTTGCCCTCTTGGATAGTAAGAGTTCACAGGTTCAGAAAACATCGTGAAAACTGAAGCTTCTCAATTGTAGTATTTACTTAAACAATACAGATTTGAAGTGTTACAGCTGAGTCTCCTCAAACTAGGGGGAAAGCAGCTGCCTCCACATATTGTCAGACGAGTTTATTAAGCTGTTTTATATCGAAGAGAATACAGAAGAAACCCCCATACTAATGTGCTCAGATCCTGCAATAGGACTCACCTACAAATGAAGCATTCTTGAATTTGAAATAAAAATAAACACTGCATGCAAAGACATTTTTTTAAAGTTTAAAATTAAACAAAATTGAAAGTGTATTTCTATTACATTAAAAAAAAATCCCTTTTGTACAGTGCTTTTAGTTTTCAGTATTATTTTAATTACACTTTTCAACATATAAAAATAAACCTAAGGTACAAGCTGAAAACTTTTTTTCTGTTTACATATTAGCAAACAAAATTAAGTTCCCTTAGGTAATTCTCTTTAGGTAATAACACTTAACGATATCTACAAATTTCAACTGTCCACACTCCAATCTCTGGTGAGAAAACTACATCTCTCTGAACTAAGTGCCTACTGATTTACATTATTTCAGCCATTTACAGATCTTAGCATTTGTGTCACTAAGTCCAATTCTTTTAAAATTATGATAACACCAAAGGCAACAATCGATTGCTATAAAATTGTAAGTACCACCAAGTGGCAGGCGGGACCCATAACATGCCCCAGTTTGCAAGTCATTGCTCAGAATTCACATCTTTAAGATTATTTGTTTTATCATTACGATGCAATTTTCAACACTAACATTTACAAAATTCAAGATTATTTTTGTCTGGTGTTTTTTTTTCCTCTAAGTGAATGGCTAGCAAAATTAAAATACATGAACTCTAACCTGGTTTCATTACAAACTAACAAAAAGACAGTGATGCAGAGATGCTTCAGACCTAAAAGTAGAAGATACACACATCACTATGGCATTACTGCTTGCAACGGTCATACACGTGAATGAAAAAAATAACACAGTAATAAGGACAGGTATGAAGTATACAATAATTTGTACCATACAAAGCAGCCTTTACTTATTATCACTTCCCTAGACCAAAAGAAAACCACAGAAATCCCTAAATCTAGTTACTATTTAAAAATACCAGTACAAGCTAAAGGCAACACAGAGAAGCTACCATTAACAAACAGATTTGCAGAGTTTCAAAGTAATTTCAGGTTATTGCCTGAGATGTAAGGGGACCAGAGAACACTTGCAAGCAATGCAAAGCATGCTACAGACTCAGAATTCACCTTCTTTGCAGCTGAGTAAACACACTCAACTGGCCACAGCTCATTTCAGAATCCAAGCTGTGCATAGGTTGCTGCTGGTAGACAGCTAACATAAAGCTAGTTCAGGTGTATATATCTGAAATTGCCATCAAAAAAATTAGCAGGTGACTTAATGGGTAGGCAGAACCTACATCTCACCTATTTCTCAAGTATTCTTCAAATGTTTCTAGTTTCCACCTGAAGTGCTTTTTTCCCCTCTTAGTTCCAATTCTGAAATAGGAAAAACAGTATTCTTTACATACTATACTATCAGTGTTTGCAAACAAAATTTCATCCCTCACATCTGTGTAAACCTGTTGACTTCGATGAATTTATCCAAGTCACAGCCACCTCTATTCTGAGCTTTGAATCCTGTTTCATCCACAAGTCTTCTGCTACCTTCTTTCAAAATCCAAAGAAAAATCCTATCTGTTACCCAGAAACACTGTTGTGAAATAACTGTGGTCACTAATGGAAGCTTACGCGTAAGTGCTTTACATGGTCTTAGCAAAATGGCACCATATTGTCACTTTTCTGAGCAATTACGAGTCACATTTTCAAATAAAGGCTGACTCAAATGAAATTACATTCAAAACAATACAGCTATCATGAACTACATGATAGGAGGTTCTCAAAACCTCCACTCAATTTAATTTCATTTATAAAGTGCCAAAACAAACAATCTAACATGGCAGGTCAGCATGCAAACTTGTTAACGATGAAGGCAATGGACTTCCAGTGGAAGACGGACACATTTAATGGATGATGCACACAATCCTGTTGGAGCAAGCAGGAACTTCATTACTGTGCTACACTACCAGTTTAAAAATGAGCTACCCTCTGCAGAGTTAGGCATTTTACAGAATAATAGTTCTCTAGTAGTGGCTTTTTAGGAAGAGGGGAACTGTAAAACACCTAATACAGACAGACTGAACTTAACTACCTCACAGATCTGCACAGTATTTACAAAGCAAAACCAGAAAATACAGCATTTGTAAGAAAATATGACCTGAGGTGGGGAGGAAATATGTGTGTTTGGTCGTTGGTTGTTCTGGGGGTTTTTTTGCCTTTTTTGAAAAAAAAAACAACTTTCTGTAAGGGAACCATTAATTCACATACAATATAACAATGTGCTGCATATGGACTTACACATGTGATAAGTTAGCTAGTAAGGCTGCCATCTTTAACTATTGATTTCCAAAGGCATGTTTCTTAGCTAACTGTACACAATCCTTCACATATTCTGTAACTGATATATAATAGAGCTATGCAGTTTCAGGATAACAAAATTCAAGAAATCAAACTAATATCAGCTGAAACATGATACACTGCAGGAATTCTAATTCCTCCCAAGGGAGAAACTTAGCTTTTCAAAGATATTATAAATAATACATGTATATTTTCACTGGTATCCACATTTCAAATCAAAGAAGCTGTGTGAATAAGACCAGATCAACTAAAAATATTCCTTTAATAAGTATGTACCAGCAGAAACTTCCCTCTAAAATACTTAATTTTATTAGTGAAATGGTACCAAAGATAACAAGTATACAAACAATCTCTTTGCTCTATGCTACTTACACATCATAAATAAGACGGCTGTTGTTGCAAGACACAATCCTTCAGTCTTCCTGTAAGCATACATTTGTCATTCTTTTTGGAAGATTTGTCATTCTTTTATCAGAATAAGCTGTTTACCAGCCAACAGCATGTGGCTTAAACATCACAAAAATGACTGTCTATACTTTACATGGTAAAGCATTTTCTATAGTCTTAAATGTACACAGTGGCAAGAACATCAAATCCTATCGAAAATGAAGAGTGATTAAGCAGCTTCACAATCAAACTGGGTTTCATTACCTTAGGAATTGGGCAAATTTTTCATTCCTTGTAATATGCTTTTTTTTTTCCAGAAGAATTAACTATGCAAAGGAAAAGAAAAACAAATTGAAAGCAAATAGCTAATACGCTATTAAGTTTTTTTTTAACTGAAAGAAATAACTCTTCCCATGAGGTAAGGCAATTAAGTCATTTGATTGTATTAAGTTGTATTAAAAATAATCTACTCAATTTTAGGTATAAGTAAATTTTAAAGGTATGACTCTTAAGAAATCTCATGTAACCGATTAAATTAGTTCAGAGAACACAAGCCATGTTTTACCTTGACAAAAATATTTGCTTTGTCATCCTCCTTTTACATGCTTTCTGCCCCAAAGAATGAAAAAGAATCTCTACCATATAACTCCTGTGTAAATTAGAACTTTTTTCCCCAAATTATTTATCCCCCTTCTTTGCATACAATTCCTTTTATATCACCCAACAGGTATCAGAGAAGATGATGGGAGAGGTAACAATTAAGGCCATTCAAATGTAGATTAAATGTCTAAAGGGCTGTCTTTGATGCAGGTGATCAGAAAATGCTTTGTATTCAGCTACTACTTTTGTACAGTGGTGGTCCCCAAATTGCATCTTTGCTTTTATCTATAAATCTCTTCTAAAAATAAAAAATAAAAGTAAAAATGGAGTTCAGTATTTTAACAAGTGAATCAAACAACCGTTCTGACAAATCACTTGCATTCTTTTTTACAGTATGGTGGAGGCAAAATAGCAATAGAGATCATGTAAGTTTTAGCTGAAAATGAGTAATAGCACATATACATTTCTAGAAAATACCACACTTTAAGAAGGCACTAAAGCTTCTGCTTGTGCTCCCATATTTTTTTAAACAAATAAGAAAAATTTATTGTCATAATGGCACCTGTACTATTTGCAGCTGAACAGACACACTGCAGTACGGCTCAAAACAAAGCTGTAAGTTCTGATATCATACAGATGTGCTCACTTCTGAAAGGACAAAAGAAAACAACAAAACAAAACAACCCCAAAATAACCCAGTAAGCTAACCTATTATCTATAACATGGCAATGTTCCTTTTAGGAACAGAAAAGTAGCATGCATTGTTCAAATACTTAAAAGAAATATTAATTTTAGGGATATTAGTAAGAAATTCTTTTAAATAATAAAGCCCAAGAATCTCAAGCAGTGAGCAAATGAAAAACATACTAGTCAGTGGGTATTTAACATAATAACCATAAAACTGTGTTTATGTTTAAATTTTTTTCAGTCGTCATCTACAACAAAAGAAAGTGTGTATATTTATGCACCATTTCCAAGCACATCAAACAGTACACATTGAAGTTTTTGTGGATTTTTTAACCCACAAGGTAAAACAATACAAAATTCATCAACAAGCAGTATTTTAAACAACCTTCAATGCATATCTTCAGCTTTTTTGGGTAGTACAGGTTTACATCTTTCAGTTTCTACTTATTTGTAACAGCTTATGGCAAAACTGAACATAAATCATTTTACAAATAAGTACAGCCATCGTGGAAATGCATGGATTTTCAGAGATGAATAGTTCTGATGGCATATGCCTTTTCATGGTATAACTACTGGTCCGTGCTCTCTTGCTTTATGGCAAGAAGACAACAAAGCTATCACAAGAATTGGAAGAGCTAATAGTACTATCAACGTGTTCAGGTTGATTGCTTTGACATTTTCTTCCTCATTCTGGGAAATAAAAAGCTTTGGATTTCATTCCTTAGTTGAATCAGAGGTCCATTCTTTGCTTTAAACCTCTTCCATTTTAATTGAGAGGTTTTCTTCATTTGGTTGACAGTTCCCATTCTGTTGTAGTTTGACTTCATCTGTCCTTTGTGTGTCCCTGTTGTCTACTTCCTTGTCAGTTTCTGAGTTCTGATCCTCTTTAGTGTGATCTTTGTCCTACCAAAGATAAAATTATTTTACAAAAAAATCATATTCTTAACATTATAGGATATGACTTCCAACCAACTCTCAGTACTTTTGTTGTCTCAATTTTTACATGCCTATCTTGTCTCAGCAATTTTTAGAATAGAGGTGTCAGCTTGTTCTCCTTTTTTTTTTAAAAAAAAAGCTTTCTTTTCCATTGGCTGAAGTTAGGCACTCATAACAACCCATCATCCAAGAAATCATTGCCATAAAGTGATCTGTCTTTGTCATCAATATTCAGAAAAAACAGAATAAGCAGCATCATGGAACCTATGAGAAACAGCTCCAGAAATTAAGAAAGATTTCACCATATTTTCTAAATAAAATAGGATTAAATTTTTTCTTTCATATTTTTTGCCAGATATCTGATGCATTTTAAGAGAGTTCTTGGGTAAGATAATTACTTAAGCATGTGGACAGAGTCACGTAAACCAGCTGTTTTATAACAGTTGAATAATTCTGAGTACAACAAACTATCTTTTAAAGGCATGCTGCTTTTCAAATTCTAAGATTAAACAATTTGAAAATGTTTCTTTTCTTAATCACACCACCTTCTATTCTGCAGGGGAAAATCCCACACCACTCTTCCCCAACTCTTCAACTTTACTCCTGCAGAGTCCAACACACAGACCAGGACCAAAGCAACCAGGGAGAGGCTGAACTGCAGAGTGAAAGTTTATTAAAGAAGTAATCTTTTCAGCTTGTCAGCCAAGCTGTCCCTGAGCGCTGCTCCATAGTTACACAGTCTGCTTCCTGACTGCTCATAAGAATAGGCAGCCAGTCAAGTCCTAACATATGGCACAGAACAGGGAAGAGAAACCAAAACAATAACCTATTCACACAAGCTCCTAGAGATCCAGTACAGTTCAATCACGAAGTCTTATCAAATGGGCCCTCTAACACCAACTGTAGGTCTCCAACTGGCAAAAGCTAAACTCAAACGGTAATAATTTGGTAAGGAAAACAGGAGAAAAAGAAGGGAGGAGAAAAAGAAAGAAAAAGAAGGGAGGGAATTTCAATAATGGCTCCACTAGCACCACTCCACTCTGCTTATCTCTTGGTCACACGGCTTACCTTCAAAGCAGTGGTGCTTTTATCAGATTTCTCCTTTCCCTCTTTTTCTTTACTACTTTTTTTCTTGGAGGTGGAGCGTTCTCTTTCTCTTCTTTCATTATTTGTGTCTCTCTCTCTTTTTTTTTCTTTCTTGTTTCTGTTCAAGAAATTTTTTACTCAAATCAGAATTTGATCCAGCAGCAACAACCTTCAAACCATTTAACTGCAAACTAAACTCTCATCTGTGGATTTTCAAAAAAACCCCAAAATGTAACAAAAACCCCTTCATAAAGACAAGGGGATTTTTTGACTGAAGAGAGCTAAAGAATGCATGTCTTCAGTATGCATGCTATTTGCAAAGAGAAAACCAAATTAATCTGTATCTGATGAAGGGCTTTTACTGATTTGAAGAAAATTTGCATTGTTGACAGATTGGAAACTCTCTAGTTGAAAGCACACCAAATCCATGGAGGCTTTTGGTTTGGTTTGGTTTTAAATTAAAACTGAATCATACTGACCAACTGAAATAATCTGAGATGATTAGCGCAAAGGCAGTAAAACAATGAAAATACTATAAATTCATCCTCCTTTACTGCTAATTAACTTTTATGTTTACATCAAACTGACCTTCTCGGAGAAGGAGTTCGTGAAGACTTTCTTTTTGTTGTTTTGGATGTTTTAGGAGACTTGGAGGGACTTCTACTCTTCCTTTTACGCCTTTCTCTACAGGACCAAGAAATTCAAAACATCAAAGAACAAAAATAATAAACTCAGGAACTGGATAAAAACAGAAAGCTCTTAAAATCATCTGGCACAACAACTAAGTAAATATCCCTGAATTTAACATTATATATCACCAACAATATATGAACTGTACAAAGCAAAAAAAACCTCTCGCTTGTTTCAGTTTGGTGGGAAAGGGGAGGCTGGAAGTGGGAAAAAAAAGGTTGTGCCCTCTCGGATTTTAGTTTTTTGTTTATCCTCACATGCTTGTACTTTTACCTGATAACAGTAGAAACACACTAAATTCACTAATCCTGTATTACGTAAGAGTTTCTTCAGCCAGGAAAAGAATACAATTGAATGAACAGCCACGTTAAGACAAAAGGCATAACTTGAGCAATACAAACTTCAAAACGTAACATTACAACCTGAAGATCACTCTAATTTCAGTTCAGCCTGACTGAAGTTTAATTCCTAAATACATGAGCTAGCATTCCTATTGGTTTAGAAGCAAACAGTGCAAAATGAAACTCAAGCTGTTGTCAAAATCAGAATAAATAGATTAGTATCTATTGCTTTCCTAGCAGTCCTTACTCAGCAAACAGAATGTTATCATTCTGTAATACACTGAAGAGCTCACAGTATTTTACAAAACAGCTGTTTTACATAGATATATGGAATTTGCTAAAGTTGCTATTATGAAGTCTGATCTTGCATAGAACAAAACATTAAATAACTTGTTGCAAACATACTGACGCACATGTTAAAATAAAGCAAAAACTGAGTAAAGCTTCATTCAACATAAACGTAGAACCTATCTCTGTCACAGTAAGATGATTTTTTCCTATCACCTCTTCACAGAGCAGGAAAAGCAGACAGGAAGAACCATCAAAGAAAAACAGGGAAGTTAAAAATCAATTGAGAGGGCACTTCAAGATATGGCACAAAAACTACACTTATGGATACCAGCTTTTGCAATTCACACCATATGGTGTGAATATTTATACCTTCAATATTTAGAAAGACCAAGAAATCAACAGTTACTAGATAAATTACAAAAGGATATATTAAGATATGCCTAGTATCACTATCTGGATTGATACTCTGACAATATCATCTACCATGACCTCCTGAAGCCGCACAGGACAAAATTTCGTAACGGTTTTGTTCAGTAAGCTCTTAAGTTTGATTTAGTCTTTGGTAAACAAAGACACAAAGTGGCCTCAAAATCATGGAGAAAATAACACAATCGCTGATCAGCTGTTCAGTAGTTAACATGCATCTCATTTTGAACATCTTGACATTTATCATCACCTTTTTTCAAATGAGGATACTGGAAATTGATGTATTATTCTGACAATGCTCCCACTTGGGCTACATTGAGTACATCCCCAATTTATTTTGCTTGCCAACATACATATCTGTGAGTAACCAAGTGCCTTAGTAATTGTGTTCAAGCTAGAAACTGTTTATTCATGAAATCTAATTTTCAGTTTCTGCTTGTCATATTTCAAGTCGAAGAACTACAACTGTGTCTGACAGTATTTGTTCCCATCCCTATTACATTTGTCTATACAAAGATTTTTGTGCACCTGTTTTTTAACACTCTTAAGCAATACTAATACAACAAAATTTAAGAAAAAACAAGTGTGAATACTTTGATATCCTCTGTCTCTTAATCATACACAGAACTAACATTCCGTACCTATATCCTCTGCTAGCCTGTAGATGTCTGTTGGAGAAGGAGCCAGATCCTCCTCTTCCTCTGGTCTGTGTCTCTATCTTCAGCTAGGAATCACAAATAGCCATCTGATTTCTAGTACTTGCATGCTGTCTGTCAGTAAAGCAAGGTCAGTTGCCATCTAGTTCTTAGAAGGTCCTGTATGTCCTATTCCACCTTCACCTCTTCTCCAAAAAGACAACTATTTGTCCAATATTTTACACTCATCACGTAAAGGATCAGTAGCCCCAACTCAGTGCTGCACTGTAAATCCAGGCAACTGAAATGCCAGGTTGTTGGATAATCTTCTCCAGAAAGGTTTGTAACAATTTCAACTAGGCAACGTCAATCACCAAAGCAAACAGATTCCCCTAATTGCAAGCTAACTGGGACTCTGTAGCCCAACCTATTCACAATTACTTTTCAGAGAATAACAGAATTACTGAGGTTGGAAGAGCCCTCTGGAGACCACCTAGTCCAACCTCTCCCTCCCCCACCTTAAAACAGGGTCAGCTTGAGCAGGTTACTCAGGGCCACATCCAGTCAGATTTTTAATATCTCCATGGATGGAGACTCCACAATCTCTCAGGGTAATTGGTTTCAGTTTGCCCAGAAAAAAACACAATTTAAACACTAGAAAAAAGCATTTCCCATATGTCAATATGTGCCTACTGCCTCTTAGCTGTCACTGGCCCCCACTGAGAAGCCTGCATCTCTCTTCTTCACACTCTCCCATCAGGTATTCATACACATTGATAAGATGTGCCCTCAGCCTTCCTTCTCCAGGCTAAACCTTCCTCAGTCTCTCCTTGTATGACGGATGCTCCAAGTCCTTTATCAGTTCCGTGGCCCTTCACTGGACTCACTCCAGTATGTCTGTGTGTCTCTTGTAATGGGGAGCCCAGAACTGGGCACAGGATTCCAGATGTGGCCTCACTACTGCTGAGGAGAGGTACAGAATCACCTTCCTTGACCTGCTCACAACACCGCCTAATGCAGCTCAGCATACTGCTGGCCTTCTTGGCTGCAAGGACCCCCAGGTCCTTTTCTGCCAGCCAGCCTTCCAGCCAGTCAGCCCCCATGCTGTACTGGTGCAAAGGAGTTATTCCTGCCCGGCTGTAGGATTTGGCTTTTCTCTTTGTTCAACTCCATGAGATGCCTGTCAGCCCACTTTTCCTGTCTGTCAAGGTTTCTCTGAATGGCAGCACACTCCTCTGGCGTACCAGCCTCTCCCCCAGTTCTATATTGTCTGCAAACTTGCCGAGGGTGCATTCTGTCCCATTGTCTAGGCCACTGATGAAAATGTTCAACAGTATTGGCCCCAGTATTGATACTCGAAGGATAATGCTATATCTGAAGAAAGAATTGTAAATCCATATAAAAAATTGCATTTCTCTCGTCCTCCATCTTCAAAAGAACACTGTCCTTGTTTAGTAACATCTGTACAAAAAAAATTGACTTCATATCAAAGTAGGGTTTTGTACTGTGAGTCCACTAGAAGAGATGCACCAATTTTGACTAGAATTCTTTTTCCAAGTACATGGCATTTGAGCCTTCCATGGCGCCTTCTTAAATAGCAAAATTCTTAATGGGGAGCATAATTGTTGCAAACTAGAGTATGAATTTTTGGTAACATCCAGCTAACTACACTTGCTATTTGACATTAGGAACTGGGTCTTCCACCAAAGTTCTTATAAGCTACACATCGTCAAAATCTTAAATCTTTTTTCTACACTTACCTAATTCAACACTCCTGAGGCCTACAGACAGAAAATGCTATGTTTTCAAAGCTGGCAGAACCACCTCTACTCTGCGTAGGTCTTTAACCCATGAAATAATGTTATAAATGCATTAAAATAGGAAGTTGCATATGCTTAAAGAATTTTGCCCATAAACCTCCAAAACAACATGGACATTTCATATAACGCAAATAGAACGTTCAGAAACTAATACATCCTTTTCTGCCTTGTATGGACCATGAACGCCTGATTTTTGTGGACTGTGGGAATTTTGCTTTTGTCCAGTGAAATGATTATAAGACATAGAACTTTTCATAATTCACCCACCATTTCATTCTCTCAAGATAACAGATAAAATTTGGTACGTAAATTTGACGTGGTACTATTAACTCCCTGAGGTATTCAGAAAGGACTTTTTCCACCAAAGCTTCTGAACCTAAGTTAGCCGCAACTCTTTTAGAATATGCCTGAGTTAGTCCACTTACAGAGCTTATAGTCAATCTTACAGCCTCCTTTTGCTGTACTGAATTTATCCAGACTTCCACCCAACTTAGCCTCCCTCAGAGGCAAAACAACAGCTACATTAACTTAAATGTTTTCCTGTTTACTATCAGCATCGTTAAGGAATGTTACATTTTACTTGTACCTGGCCATATAACCAGCTAAACAAGGTATCCTTATCTTCCAGCTGAGGTACATTCACCTTCCAAATGGCTAGCCAGCCAAGTGACATGCTTGCTTCCTGCTGTTCAGCCATCCAGCTGAAGAGTGGCAAGTACTATCACCCAACTGTTCGCAAGAGCTACAGACCAACACTGTACAGTATGTAAGTAACCAAGGAACTATGTAATAGCAACTCAGACTTTCACCAGGACAAAGATGATGTGTGATGTCACTTTATCAGAACTTTTGGATGGCTCCAACGCAGAGAAATGTTACAAGAATTATCTACTTACTGTCCTCAAGGTCTACACAATATGGTTATGTGAAAGGCAAGCACCAGCAGCCCAACAAGAAACTATGTTCTATCAGGCATCATACAGAGCTCTTTGTAATAGATTTTACTTTATAGGAAAATCTACAAAACAGAAATAATACAAATTTAATTAGTAAGACATATGGTGATATTGATACATAAAAACTAGGATGGTGCCTCACTGAACTGACAAGTCAAAAAAAGCATGAAAAAATTCTAAACAAACCTGCTGGAGCTACGAGATCTTCTTGAAGAGCTATAGCTTCTTGGGGGTGTTCTAGATCTCTTCTCTTTCTTCTTTTTATCATCTCTGTCTTTTTCTCTTTCTCGCTCTTTCTCCTTATCCCCATCTTTTTCCTTTTCTTTGTCTCTGTCCCTCTCTTTGTCCCCTCCTTTGTCCTTATCTCCCTCCTTGTCCTTAAACTTCTCTCTGTCCTTCTCTCCTTCTTTCTCAGTATCTTCTTTTTCCTTGTTCTGGTCTACTTCTTCCCTGTCTTTTTCCTTCTCCTTATCTTTCTCCTTTTCCCTGTCCTTGTCCCTGTCCCTGTCTTTGTCCTTATCCTTGTCCCTGTCCCTATCCCTGTCTTTGACTCTCTCTCGATCTTTGTTTCGCTCTTTATCTCTCTCCCTGTCCTTCTCCTTGTTTCT